CTTGAACCCAGCCCACTCTGGCTAGCTTGTTCCTGGACCCTCCCACTTGAAGCTGTCAGATATAAATGTTTCTTTTATGCCTCGAAGTCTGAGGTCATTTGTGCAGAAACACATCAAGTGTGATTGTATTAAAGACAGACACGCTAGTGCAGTGAAGACAAGAGGAGCTGGTGAGGTGGCCCAGCTGGTAAAGACGTCTGTTGCCAAGCCCAGTGACCTGAGTTCAGCTCCAGAAACCCATGGCAGAGAGAAAGAACCAACTCCCAAAACTTTTCTCCGATCACCACACATGCATCATGGCATACATACCCCACCTCATAGACACTCACACAAAACAAACAAATAAAACTGTAGTAAAATATTTATTTAACAAACAGAAAAGTGGGCACCAGAAAGAAAGGTGTTCATAGTGTTGTTTCTTACACTGGAGAGAAACATGATTGTTCATTCACTTTCTAATAAATCAGACTGTATACTTACAACTTGTGAATTTTTTTATATCTGTGTTATACTTTTAACAAAATCCCAAATTGATAATTTTGCTAAATTGAACTGTGTTACACAAAAGATATGTTCATTATTAAAATACCAAAGACAAAACAACAACCTGGTAAATGTGTGAAAGATGTTTATAATTTTCATGACTGATAATAGATTAAAATCTAGAATTACAAAAAAAGATCTCACAATACAGAGAAATGTCAGCAGAAAAACAGGATAATAAGGTTAGATAATAATACCAATGCACCATGAAGGACACACAAGCAGTTAATAATCACATAAAAAAAATCCAGCCTCACCAATAAGGAAAGAAAAATAAGATTTCAGCGGGCAGCAGTCAACACAGACATGTAAATGACCCAAGTGCTGTGACTAAGAGTCCAGTGTGCTGGACTCAATGGGACATCTTTATCAGCCCCTCCCCCCACTCCAGCCAAAGTGCAGAGAAGGGGAAGGCCTGGAGACTGGGGAGGAGTAGTGTGAAATGCTCTCTCTGGACATGACGGAGCTATGGCCTTCACAACAGTTGTGGTTACCTGCCCAAGAGCTACACAAGATCTAGCCAGCAAAACTCCCCAAAAGATGAGGGGGGCACTCTCTAGGCACTATCCTTACTGAGAAGTCACTGGCAGTTGGTAGCAGCAGGGGGAGGAAGGATCGTTTTCCTTGGACATGGTGCCCACTAATAGATTTCCCATGCTCCACTGTGTGGCCCCACCCATGCACGTGTGGAGAGCACCAATAAGAGAATCAGAGAAGAACTGGAAGCTGGGAGGGGCCATGCTGGGGAGAGGAAAAAAGGGAAGTTGGGAAATATGGGTAGATATGATCATATTTCACTGTACACATGTTGAAATTCTCAAAGAATAAAAATTATATAATTTAAAAACCTGATAAAAAGTAGATCTTTATCCATATCCCCTTGGCAAAAACTAGAAAAATAGAGTAAGTTGCTGATGAAGATGTGTAGAAACAGAAATCTTGTCATATTGCTGGTGGAAATGAAAACCAGTGTGGCTGTTTGGAAAAGCAACCACTGCCCCGGAGTACACTTACCCCCAAGGACTCTCCTATTCACTCTGACATAAATCCACAGTAACCCTCACAGGAGTGCACAAGGAAACATGTAAATGACCAGCGATGGACTATGCCTTGAAACACTAAAGCATTCACTTCCAGTGCATTTCATAAGCAAAATCAAGTATTTGCCCAAGGAAGAGTCCATACATGTATCCAGATCTGCATGCCGCAGTGAAAATTAAGCTCAAGTAATTCTGAGGTTCCAAATGAGAAACAGTGAAACTTCTGACTAAATGACATTCCTGGGAGTATAAAATACACACTCAATAATATTACATATTCTCATTGTATATCTTTGTATTGATTTGTTTTTCTGTTATGATAAAAATATCATAACCAAAGACAACCTAAGGAAGAATCTGGTTTAGCTTGTAGTTCCAGAGGGACAAAACCCATCACAGCAGGGAAGATACAGCGTGGGTGGTGGGAGCGGAAAGCTAGCTGGTCACATTTCATCATCTGCAGGAAAGAGAATGAGAGAGAAAGAGGGAGAGGAAGGGAGGGGAGGGGAGAGAGAGAGAGAGAGAGAGAGAGAGAGAGAGAGAGAGAGAGAGAGAGAGAGCAGGCCAGCATAGGGGAAAACAGAAAGTGAAGAGTGAGAAGATGTGAGCCCAGAACCTGCACCCTGACACACTTCCTCTATCAAGGCTCTCCTACTAAAGGTTTCGTAACTTCCCAAATACTCCACCACTTGGAGACCAAGTGTTCAAACACGTGAGCCTGTGAGGGACATTTATCATGCAAGCCTTCACAGCCTCTTAGTTACTTTTCTCTTTGCTGTGATCTACTTCCTAACAAAAGCAGCCGAAGCCCAAACAGCTTACTCTGGCTCACAGTTTAAGAGTTCAGGGCGTCATGATGAAGAAAGCATCACGACAGAGGCAGGACTGTTGGTCACGTGTGAGCGATCAGGAAGCAGAGAGGCACTTAGGCCTTTCTCCTTGTAATCTGCACTGATAACAAAGTCTATGGGATGATACCACCCACCTTCTTTTAGGGTGGGTCTTCTTGGTTAAGGTAAAATTTTCTTTAAAAATATCCTTAGAAACACACCAAGGGATGTGTTTCCATGGTGATTCTAAGTTACAGGTTGACAATCAAGATTGACAATTCTGATATACAGCATGTGTACATAAACAGTGAGGTGGAAACATCTTTCCGAGTGAAAACAGGCATCACTGAGTGAAGGAGAATCGGTTTCACCAGAGAAAGAAGGAAGAAAACAAACCTGATGTAGACAAAGGTGTGGGCCCTGGGCACAGGTGGTCACGGCAAGGCTTGTGGGATGAGTAAGCGTGACAAGTCAGTTGTGCACCTCAGCCTTCAAGAGCAAGTTCAAAGGCCGAGGGACTGACTGTCCGGACTCCACCACAGGCCATTTCAGTTCCCTGCAAGAATAAAAGAAAAATAAGCCATGACTCCGATGAGTGGTTAGCGGTTTCTGCTCCTACAACCATACACCCACTCCTAAGAAGAAAAACTTACGGATGTGGCGATATGTAAGCTGTGATTGATAAGGGGAGAGGGTAATGGACACAGCGGGGAATTCCCATCTGGGGAAGGGAATTGGCTAGAAGGGAGTAGGAGACAACGGGCAGGTGGGCGTGGGGAGGGGAAAAAGGGCTGAGTCTATAGTTCAATAGCTGAGCACTCGCCTCTCATTCCTGACCCACTGGGTTCTATCCCTAAGTACTGTCCTACCCCTAAAAAGAGAAAGAATGAAGTATAATGACCGCGTGAGGATACCCTGATCAAGCCCTTACTTTATATTCTAACCTAATTTAAAACAATTTTTTAAATTATTTTAAAAACTACCATTGGTGAGGTACCTACTGCCCACCATAATGCTTATTTGCTACAGTTCTTCAGGCAAGCTTCTTGTTCCATTTTTCATATTAGTAAATTGATGCTAAGACAATGTACTGATTTCTCCAAAGTCAAAGCACAGATTTCCTTAAAAACAAAACAAAAAAAACAAACAACAACAACAAAACCCTGAGTTTTTCAGACTCTGGAACTGAGTTCCAAACTTACCAAATTTCCACTATCTTGTGTCACTATTACATTATCTTAGGAAAAACAGAACAGACATAAAGTCACATGGGACAGAAAAATCTTGACATCATATAGCTAGGAGATAGAAAGCAGCCCAGGCTTAAACATTATTTTTAAAGTGTCCCCAGGATTGCTATGTTTATGGATATAATCTTGGCCATGACTCTGACAGTAGCTGCTGGGAAGTGGGACCAGGAACAGCTGCTGTACCGCAGGTTGCCAGACACCCACCCCCAGTGCCTACAGTATCCATGGTCTTTGCTCCATCAGGACACGGGGGCAGAGAGCATCTGCATCCCTGTTGTTGCTCCCACACCGATGTGCTGAGCCTTTCCTGGAGCCTGTCAATCAAAAGGGAAGTGGCCATGAAGGACCTGAGCCCTGTCTCTTCGTGCTGATTGCTCGCCAACACTTCAGTCTCCTCGTCAAATCAGGCTTCCCACCCCCGTCCAGGCCACTCTGTAGATGAGTGTCTTCCCACCCCGTCCAGCCCACTCTGTAGATGAGTGTCTTCCCACCCCGTCCAGCCCACTCTGTAGATGAGTGTCTTCCCACGCCCGTCCAGCCCACTCTGTAGATGAGTGTCTTCATGCACCACCCAATGTCAGAAACCAGTATTGATTACAAGAGTTACCCCTCTTCACCCCTCCCACAAACATATTTCAGCATCAAGGACAGAGACCCTTTTTCTGCATGTGTAGGTGGACCATTGTTCTAAAAAAGGTACCCCATGTAAAGAACATGAATGGGGCTCATAATTATTGTGTAGAATATTCTTTCATTATTTTTGCCTAATTGTCCAACCTCTGAAATATTTCCAGGCCAATTTATGAAATAAAAAACAAACACTCACATACGCAATTTAATCTAAGGATATATTAAAGGAACTGTTCACTTTTACAATCGCCCTCAGTGATCCACTCCATAATGACACACTTCTCCTGGCAATTTTTGTGCTGAACTATGAAATGATTCAGACCATACTGTGGCAGAGTGAAGCAATGTGAAGAAGAAATTATTCCACTTTCTTCTTCTTTTTGTAAACTCACAGTCTGTCCTGCATGCTCTTACTTCTCAAGTGTTCATCTGTGAACAAAAAAAGAAAAAAAAAACAAACACTTTGTTGGATGACAATTTCATTTCATTAAAATTCTCATCAGAAGGAAGTAACCTGTTGTTGCACTGATGGACGCTTTGAGTCCATGCATTGCGTGATCACACTTGCTAAGGAGATGTCAACTTCATCAGTTACCAAATGTGGATGACTAGAGATGTGTCCTGCTGTTAGTAAAACTTGTCTAAAATAAGAATAAAGCGTTACCATTTTTCTCACGTAAAACAAGGCTCCATCTAGGAGGTCCAGGGCTGGACTGACATTCTCTCAGTGATGAAGAACACGGGTTCCTCCTGTCTTTCTGGTCTAGCAGCATGGACACACAGCCTCCATTCTTGAGATCATCCCCTCTAAAATGGCTAGCAACTCCAATGAGAACACTTAAATTCAAAGTAGAAAATAAATTTGAAAAAGAATAGAATTCACAAATCTATCCACAGCCCTAAAGGCAACACAGACTAAGAAATGTGGGTTTTAATTGGTGCTTTCTAATCGAGAGAGAGAGAGAGAGAGAGAGAGAGAGAGAGAGAGAGAGAGAGAGAAG